TTTCCTGCGTGTGTCAGATTCCTGCGGTGGGGCTGTGAGTTGGCGAGGTGTGTCTGTCCCACTCGGTGAATCAGGAGGAAACGGGACAGCAGCACCGGTAGGCCGGGCCAGGCGCCTCGGGCACGGTTCATTTCTCTCCCCAGGGCACAGGGCGGCCCACGGGGTGACTTTGATGGATAGGAATGCTGCTCAACCCACCCACCCACCCATGTGCACACGCCCACACATGTCCCACACACTTTGTCTCGCACATTCACACACACACACACAGTCGCAGGCAGGCAGATCTGATGTTGGATGTGAAATGTTTACGGCCCGCCCACACGGCCTTCCTGCTCCGTCAACAAACTCTTCCCAGAAGTGTGTGTGATGTACGATCGTATAGACGCCCGCACGTGGGGGCCGCTCTCCCGTCTTTCATCACGGGCCCATCCGTGCGCATCCTGGCGCAACGTGCAGCGCAGATCCACTCGCTGCCGGCTTTCAAGTCCAACATGACCAATTTGCGCAGTAATGACCCCTTTATTCTAACCTAATCGCGTTCCCATTTGTCACATTAACGCAGACAGAATGAGGGAACACGCAGCACCAGCTAACCCAGATTAAAACTAATGACTAAGTTCATGTAGATACCTTCTCAGAATGGAACTAATCAGAGCCTTTCTCGCTGAGAACTGAGAATCCAACTATTTACAAAACAAAGCTAGAGTCCAGATTACGTGAGATGTGAGATGTGAGATGTACCCCTTGTCCCAGAACATGTGAAGTAATCAGCTCGGGCGCAATGCTTCGTTTACGGAAACCAGATCCCGACATCCTGGATGACACGGGCTGTGTTTACAGCCAAACCTGATGAGCTCAGCCAAGCCATGTCAAGCCCGAAAGGAGATCTCCGCTCTCAAGCGAGCAGATTGGCTAACGGTGGTGCCAATTAGGTCCATTTCCACACTCGGGGTCTTGCACACACACATCCCGTCATGCGCTCCTGCCAGCACGGCAAGCATCAAAACAACCAACCGAGCGTTTGACACGTAGGAAAGGTTGTGTTTCAACCGACTCCTTTCAGTTTCGTCCACTGACTCAGCAGCTCTGTACCGAGATGGAGACTGATAAAAACGCAGAGGGAGCCATTGGGGGAAATGGAAAGACAGGCAGCTTTGTCTTCTCGTAAAGCATGTGTGAGATAACACCAGTGTTTCTTTTGGACACGCGCCGCCTTGTCTTTCTCACACACACACACGCGTTAAGATGATTCAGTTCTCAGGCGGTGTGATAATAAGCTGGAGGGGCACAGCATCTCCTGTACGGTTGGGAGGAGTGTGCCTCTGCTATCAGACAGACTGTCTGTGCTGGTCCTGAGCCTGGGCGGGGAGAAAGGACTGTTCTGAGCCGGTGCATGTCGGAGGCAGGTCATCTCTCCCCCTCACACGCTAATCATCGCCACGCCTGACCCTGGAGTGAACTTTATTGTGGTCACTATCAATATTTCGACCTACGTAAAGCTAAACATACAGAAACAAATTACGATAAGCACTAACCGCTAAAACGATGGGACATGCGTCAACTTTATGTATCACGTAATAATTTCAAAATATTGACTTAGAGCACACTTTAATTTCGCTTTCCAGAAATAATAGCCAATGTCTTTATAGACCAACATTCTTCCATCCATCCAATATTGTAACTGCTTATTCCCCCATGATCATTCAGTTTTTTGTTTTTTTTGTACAGTACAGATCATGGCTGACTACTTTGTGTCAAGCTCAATCTAAGAATGATCTATCAGTGGGGGAAAAAAGGCTGATTTAAAACATGTTTCACTGTTTACAGGAACATGTAAAAAACAAAAAAACAATGACAAATTGTCAGTCAAAGTGAATAAAAGAAGAGGGATAGAAAGTTTTGCTGGAATGCTTTCAATCCTCCAGCGTATCATTCATTTGTTTGAGTAAAGTTTGGAGCATTCAGCTAATAACTTGATGATCTAACAATTTGCCAATTGTAAAAAGGACTAAATAATTGTGATTATGGGCTAATGCAAGCAGAGTGGCCCACGCAGACTACATCCACAATCATAAAAACAACATCCACAGACTCCCATTTGAATGCACACCTGTATGGGAGTTTGTCTTATCTCTGCTGGATGAGATTATCTTTTCTCGTCTCTCTTTTAAATTCATTTGATTATCAAAACACGGGGAATGTGAGTGCTTAAACATGGCACATGTATGGCTTTCCAGTGAAAATAAATAAATGTTTACTTGACAAACGCTCACGTCCACGTTCACGCCGCGGAGTTACGAGAAGTGGGTTTGTTATTTCCGCCTCCTGACTCCTGCCAGCAACGTTTGTTTACCGGCGAACAGGTCCCGTTTCCAGGGAGCCTGTTTACCTGCCCCGTTGCCTTGACGTTTTAATGCCGTCAACACCCCAAGCGTTCATTTCATTGACTTTTTTTAAGGTCGTAGTTTCGCTGGCGGCTGTCTCTGAACTCTCACTGGACTGGTCCGTGTCCGTTGAGTCGCCTTTAATTTTATGGGAGCCGCGGAGAGGACAGATATCTGTATCTGTTACGACTTTGCGTAAGCGCATTCTTTCCCACCGACGCGGGACTATTAGAGGCGACAGCGAGGAAGCGAGGCCACCTTAAATCACATGTTGACACAACAAGAACGCTACTCTCCACCCATATCCGAGCGGAGCCAGTTAAAGAGGACTCTCACCTTCCCGGCTACGCCGTTAAAACCGAGGGAGACGCCGGTGAGGAGGGCACGCGGACGCTTTGGCACACAGCGGCTGCTTATTGGTCAGGACTCCCGGCTTACGGTCGCGTGGAGTCGCGCGCAGGACACGCACGAGCCCGCTGAAGAATTCCCAGAGAAAATTGCTGCGGATACTCAGTGGTTTGGATTTATCCGAGACTATTTTAAAAACTTTTTACATTTTTTTATCACTGTCTGGTTTTACCCTACGTACCAAAGCTGGGGGAACATAGCGAAGAACGACCCACTTTCTTGCGAAGCTTTACAGTTTTCGCCACAATAATTGGTAAGTTCGCTTTTATTAACGTCTAACCGGCTTATCCGTGTAAAGCTGTGACGTGTTGGCAACGTTTCACATCAAGTTTATAGAGCTGGGGGGGAACAAATTGACCAGACAGGGGCCAATCAGGGTCGTTATGCCATCTTCCTATTTTCTGTGATGCTTTTTGTTTGTGGGGCTGCTATTAATTAATTCGGCTTTTGTTGGTGACAGAAGAATGTCACTGTTATCTTAAAGCTATCCCCAGAAATGTATAGTGAGTCGTTGTTGAGAAATTGTAAGTATTGTTAATATTTAATACAGACTCTGACAGTAGTGTTATTGAATTAGAATAAATGTGCTTGCTTTGACATAAGTAACACTGGTTATACTTAATATACAGACTACTTGTTTAAAGATATTGTCATAGGCTAACATTCAAAATATTCGGCTTGCAAGGTTACAGGGTTGTTTTCTTTGGCCACTAGGTGGCGACACAGCATCTCATTTTAACACGGAACCACGGGGATTTGTATGTTAAACCAACTCATTCTGCTCTGGGAGGGCAATAGATGCTCCACAAAATGATTGTTTTCGGACCCCGTCTCTCTTTAAACACTGCTGAAATCCCTTCATGCTGATTTTTTTTTACTTGTATCGAACGAGGCTTGACGATGTCCGGACGAATGTTCCCGTTTTCGTTCCCGGTCCTCTCCACCTTTCTTTGGAACACGTGGGGGTATAACCTCGATATAGACTTCTGCGAATGAGCCGGTGTCCTTCTTCCTGAAGGGAATAGCCTCGCCCGAGTCCGGCTCGTAATTTGCATCGTGCCCACGACCCCTTTAACGGACTCTGTGGGTTTGCTGACATCAGTGGGATGTGGACGGCGTCAGCACCATTAATGTCACTACACCCCATCCGATAACTTAGATTTACATAGCAAAGGGACGCTCTCTTTAAGTCATACATTACACATATCTCCAGTCCTACTCTAGTAGATTATCTCCTTATTAAAAAAAACAAAACATGGATAGTTTCTAGCTATTACTCTCAGTAGCACAGAATCTTACTGAACTATTGTACTATGTGATTGAGACTTTTCTTCCACATATCTGTCTATTCTGGGTTGTTAAGATGACGTGTATCCGTTATTTTAAGGACTAATGCTATTTTGGAGCCGGTTCCAGTGCCCACACGAGAGGACAGTCAAACACGGAGCATCTTTGGAGAGCTCGTTTCCAAACATAGGAGTGGGAAGATGTTAGTTATGGATAAGATGATGAGAAAAATATTTGTAGTTTTGGTTTTCTTTTCACTCGGCTCATAAAAGGAATTAATATAAGTGAATCCTTGGGGGAAATAAGTGCTCGCTCAGTTTTTTTAATGAGTATTTTGATGCGTAATGGTTCCCGGTTATGAGCTTTAAGAGCGGTTGCTTTGGACTGCCGTATTATGGGCACCTATTTTGTTTTATGCTCTAATTTATTATGAATGGCCTCAACTCTTCTGCGCTCCACGTGGGTGTGCGTCTCGCAGTCCTATTGGTTCAGGCCAGCAGCGTCCTGAAGCAGCTGTGCCGTGATTGGCCGCGGCGCTCCGGGGGCTGTGGGCGGACTCGGTGGACGGTGGAAGTGGGATACTTTGTGAGTCGGCTGCTGGCGGATATTTCAGTGGGGCTGCTGTAGGTACGGGAGCGCCGCGGAGAGCCTCTCACTGCTAGCCGAACCAGGCTGTGCGGCTCCGGACTCTGAAGCTTGTTAAAACACCTCAGAGGAGACCTCCTTCCTGTTGTATTCTTTTCTAATCAAAGCTCGCGTTCTTTCTTTTTTTTTTTAAAGTAAGTGCTTTTGTTAAACGCGGCCATGACATTTTTTGCTGACAGCATACTTGCGTCTTTCTCTGGCTTTCGCCCTACTATGTAGCATTTCGGAAGACTTGCTTGCACGCCGGATAACACAACAAAGAAACAAACAAGGAAAAAAAACAGCAAACAAAGAGAAGAATGAACCCTTTGTAGCCTATTGCTGATTTTCCTTTGGGGGGACACTCTCATGATATCGACAAAAGAAGAGACGAACTTGGTTGAATAAAAAGCAAGAGAGAGATAGATCGGTCTGAATGCTGCTTTTGGTTTGCGGGCAGAGAAAAGGACGGTAGTCGAAGCTACGGATCACCATCGGCCTCCCCCCCGTCTTCACTCCCGATTCTACTCGCCTTGTCTCGCCCTCCCCTCTGAACACAGGTTATCGGATGGACCAGCATCCGAGCGCCCGGAGCTGCACCAGTCGCGGGGCTTCGTCCTGCGAGGCCGTCCCGGCTGAGCCCTCCATGAATTTATACATCCACTCCACCACCGGTACGCGCTTCGAGCTCTCCCTGCCCCTGGAGGAGACCGTGGAGGGACTGAAGAGGAGGCTGTCACAAAGACTCAAAGTACCCAAAGAGAGGCTCGCTCTGCTACACAAAGAAACGTGAGTAAAACCTAAGAATATTTGTTTTAACTGGCATCTGCTCACCAAACGTCTCCTGTTTGGATAGAGACGCTAAAACGTTTGAACCGAGAAGCAACCTGTGTTTGTAGCCTGATGCCTTCAAGCTGTTACACCATTCCGCTCCCTCAAAATGTGCTCAGACAGACTTGGGGTGTCTGATGGGTCATGAATCTATTCAACTAAGCTCCTCGCACTGGTCACTCAAGGGAGGAGGGGGAATTGACCCCGATCCAGACCCGGCTTAAAAAATACAGAAAATGATAGAATAGGCTGTGTTTAGTCACAAACTTGGGAGCACATAGTGTTTTAATTCCACCGCATAAGCATAGAATCCACATTATTCATGTTAGAGGTGTAGCTGTACAGCTGAAGTGGATGCATCTTGCGGTTGGAGGATGAAACCCCGTCCCTCTTGATGCGGGTATCAGCCAGCAAATGAGCCTGTTAGGCACAAGCTGCTCAAAGAAAATCCTGAATGCTATTATTATTATTTAAATCTTAACTAAAACCTGAGATGTCATGGCTCAGGCACAGGTTAAATGAGCTAACAATGGTGTAGGTGGTGTTGTGCACAAAAGAGTTAGAGGGAGCTTTAGTATATGCAAACCATGAGCATTGTTTTTGTGCTCCCCATCCCCTCCCACCCATTGTAATCACCCTATAAATCACATCATCCCCTAAAACCCGAATACCCCCTTTTTAATCCCCTCCTGTGCCTCAAAGTGCAAACCTGCTTCAGGTCGGGGTTGAGGGCTTTTGTTCAGCTGCACGGGGTGAGATTTAGGTCATGTCTGTCCTGAACACCTTTGGCAAACCCAAAGGAAGCAAGGAACCAGACTTGGATGCGAGAGTATAAAGTACTTTGTAATCTGCTTTGTAAAGACAGTTCTGGATGAGGAGAGGGAGACTTGTCCTGTTCTCCACCAAAGAGAAAACTGCAAAACCCAGGAAATGTAATTTTGTCTGTGCTGTGAACCTACTAATGTAACCTAATTAAAGATAGCAGCAACCACAAAACTTTCCATTCTGTTACCTGCAAAGCTGTTTAGAGTCGCTGTTCTTTGTGCAGCTAGAGGATAAGACTTAGCTCTACTTAGGCAAGTGGCAGCAGTGCAAAATATCCAATGTGAGCTCTTGTCAAGCTCCCCTATACTTTAAATTGAAATATGACAGGGCAATCAATACTTGTCTTTCATAAAGCTTTTCACCCACGGCTCTTTTCCAAACTAGTTTAGAAGACTTGCCTGTCTCCCTCCCGTGTTGAATGGTGTTTGTGCCTCTGAAGAAAGAAGATATTGTCAGCACGGTCTAATTATCTCCCTCTGTCTAACCCTTCAGGCGACTAAGTTCAGGCAAACTCCAGGATCTAGGCATCTCTGATGGGAGCAAGTTAACACTTGTACCAACAGTTGAAGCAGGATTAATGGTAAGGCTGCTCGGACTGTTCTGTTCTTCAGTCGCCGTTCACTAATACAGTCCATCTAATCTGTATTAGTGGGTTAAAGCTGTCGTGTATGCATTACTTCTCATGGCCCTGGTCCTCATAATAAATACAACTGTTTTGTACTATTTTTATTGTTGTGCAGTCGCAAGCATCAAGACCAGAACAGTCAGTAATGCAAGCCTTGGAGAGTCTAACAGAAACTCAGGTAAGGTTTCCTTTTCTCTCTGTTTACCCTGAAATAATGTGGCCGGTGTTTGTGACCTTTTGTGTGCAGAAGGTTGTAGCTCTTGCTGAGTAACAGTAATGACTAGATATGATGGAGGCATGAAATGAGATGGACAGACTGCACAAGCCTCTTTGATTGTCTAATCCTTTCCTCTTAAACAAGCCAAGCTAGAAAACCGGTGTAAGCTATTTGGATATAATAAGCAGCAGCACCCTCCTGTATCCTAGTAACATGTGTATACATGTGTGTGCTTGTGTGTGTGTGTGTGTGTGTGTGTGTGTGTGTGTGTGTGTGTGTGCATGCATTGCACCGTAGGGAACATGGGTGAAGACTACAAAAGACAGGTTTATTTGAGCTGATGACAGGGCCCGGTCTTACTTCCACTTTTCTCTTTATATCTTTTCTATCTTCAATCTTCCTCCTCTCCTTCTATATTACACACACCAACAGACACACGCACACGCAGCGGCAAGTTTCCAGGAAGTGTGCTGTGGCTGCATGGAGGCTGAGTACACTGCAGTCTCAGTCAGTCATAACCGGACTGCTGGATCATCAGATGACAGCCATCCCTCTAAGCATTAGCATAGAGTTCCCGGAAGCCTTGCAGGCATTCAGCGCCCAAGTGAGGCCTACACTTGGGGCTTGCAGCGAAACGGATCTGTGCGCGTACTTAAAGTACAGTATGCATTTGACTCAGTGTGGCATGACTCACCGAAATGATCGATAGTGACAGCGAAGTGAGAGAAAAGGCTTTGTGTTGGCCGCAGAGAGAGAAGCTGGTGCGGAGAAGCGATAAGGCTGAATGCACTTAGACAACAGTGTGACGTCGGAGCTGCCGCGCAGCTGACTGACTGACTCAGATCCACTTCCTTTTGCTGCGCTGGTTAACACTGAGACGTGTGTAACTGCGTCAGAGTTGTGTGGCCGACTCATGTCGAAAAATTACAAGATGGTGAAACCGAGCACAGATGCAAAAAAAAAAGCCAAACGTGTCCGCCACACAGAGGTTAGGTTTAGGAACAGGAACGGTCCAGAGAGCGAGGCTGCACATTTATTACCAACTTTATTGGAGGATGTAATCTTTTCTGAGATGACAGAGTCTGGGCCTGCGTGGTTTCTCTCCCTGCTGTCAGTTTTATGGTGGAAATCCGGGCCTCATCGCGTGTGTATGTGTGAACTCAGCATGCACCTCGTAGCACCGACAGCAGATGACTGCCCGTGTGGAGGTGTGCGGGCGTGCGCGTGTCTGTTACTGTATGTCCGTGCGTGTCACCGTGCTCGTTGGCTGGAATTGCTTCCAGCCTTGCCTGCCGTGTGGTACGCCTTTGCTGGGCAGCCAAGAGTGGCTGTCATTTTCACCAGAGGCAGATGATAACTCAACTCAGCTGCCGACCCAGAAGGGCGCGTTTCTCACTCTGCCTTTCTCTCTGTGGCCTCTCAGGCCACATCATCCTGTTTTATCTTACAGAAATCTTATGAGTCATGCTTTTGTGATTTTCAAGAAACGCGTGCATTACTTGTTTTCTGCAGACTAAGTATGACGATGAGGCAAATGGTGCAGATGATACAGAGAAAAAGGGTCAAATTTAGGCATACCACTGCTTTAGTGTGTTTATATCCCGAAAAAATTGATTCCACTTTATAATTCATGAAGCAAAATGGAACGATATAGATTGTGGTGAGATTACGGATCTGAGTAAGATTAGGAAATAAAACACAAAAGCTTCCCCTCATTTCCTCTCCTCCTGTAACATTGGGGCTATCAAAAATCAATCAATGCACTTAGCTTTTTCAAAGTGTCTGAAGCAGTAACTGATATGCCCACACACCCAAAAATAGTCTCAGGGAAAATTGGGGGTAATTCTTGGTAGTGCTAGACATAGATTAAGTGGGTTTAAACCCCACAACCGTTAATGTGGTCTAACCCTTCCAAATAGTTTTAGTAATGTGGGGTCTCATTTCAAGATTGGGTGTTTTTCCTGGAAGTGCATGTTCATTGCATACTTAACTGAGTGGATCATCTCATGTCTTCTCCTATATTGGGATTGTGAAGTGGGGCACGCAGTCCCCAGCTGACTGCAGCGTAGCTAAAAAAGCAGACAGACCGTGTTAGCTTGTGTCATAATTTAGAGGAAAAATGTTTGATGGAAATCGAGTCCCGCAATTACTAAAATGGGACCTCTCCCTCCCCTTTTTTTTTTTCAGTCTCTCTCTTTTCCACCTTCACCCCCTCTTGTTTCTGCTTAACAGCTCTCCCAGGACACTGTAATTTAAATATGCTGTGGTTTGCAAGTTTGGCTCTAGCTGCCTCTGCTGGTCCATGAAGGCTGCTGCCTTAATTCCTCATCTGGCATCTCACTCGAGTCTTTGCAGGGCATCTAATCTGTATTAAGCCACTGCCTCCTGACAGCCCATCAAAAAAGAGTTGCACGCATTACTTTTTTCATTCCGTCTGCTAAATAGAGGTTATGTCTGCAGTTTCTACTTACACATTGCGCACACAGGATATGGAAGAGGATTCCTGAGTCTTTGGAAATAATGAGAGAAATTCAGTACCTAAATAAAGTTTTTGGTATGACAAATAGGAAAGGGAAAATAAAGCCACTGTCTGGCATTTGTGGGTGTGTAGGCACTGATGTCATTCCTCGATTGATTAATCGATTGATTGGTCTTTGCTTTTGAAAGAAAGAGATGTGCGCTCGTATCAGCACATGGGGACAATTTACTCACTGATACACATCAGTGCTAGAATAAAAGCTAACCAGGCCGGCAAGCATTAGCCTTACCATCCCCCTCCCACTCCCCTTCCCCCATACAGCCATTTCTTTGTTCCTGTCTTAAAACATTAGCACCAAACCTACCCAGCTGACAAACCCTCAAACACACATCAGTGATTCAGGGTCACTTTAAGTTTGATCCACCCTCACACACCCTTGTAACCCTCCATGCATCCCTTCAGTCATCCCAAGTTGGATGCAGTGAGTGTAGCATCCTGGTTTGGTAATCGATGTGCTTGCCCAGCCGGATTGAGGCTCAACTGTTCCCAGAATGACAAATTTAGCTTTGAACAGTATCACAGATTGCTCTGGGAGGAGGCCGTGTGTTGCCATTCCATACATCCCAGCAGGATATGCTCCACTTTTCTCACTCAAGCAGCCCCCGTCCTAACACATTCCCCTCCATTTCCTCTAGACAGCCTCTTACTGGAGGAATAACAGGCCCAGATGCGGCTCAGTTTTGTTATTGCCTGTTAAACTAGATGTAAACTAACAGGATCTAACAATCGTGTACCTGAGGAGTGAAAGAGCGGATCGAGTCATTCGGTTGCAGGTCCATTCATGTTAGAGTGTTGTAAACTCTGTAGACCTGGATAGATATGGACAGATTTAGATGACTTTGTCTTTGTTGTTGTTATGCATGCATGTCTGTGTCTGTTCACGGCTGTTAGCACGGCTCAGTGGAGATGATCAATAGGTTTCTCTTTCCAGACCTGCAGTCTGCGCACCACCTTATCCAGATGTGCAATCAGTAAGATTGGCACCACTGGAAATCATTGGAGAGTCATTTATTGAGGATTTGGATGTGCAAAGAATTGAAAACTGATTGAGTTAGTCTGATCACTGTGAGAAGACCCATTTTTTTAATTGCAGGAAGCTCCCTCTGCACTTCTTACTGCTCTTGAAATAAAGACATTTTAAATGCATGCAGCTTAAGAGATGGAGTCTTTGCTCTTTTGAATGGTTATTTGCATTTTTTGTTACCTCAATGAAAGCTACAGAAATTAATTTGTTACTGAATGTCTGAATCAAATTGTGCACAGAGGAAAAGACAATGCTGATCTGAAGGCCTATTCAGTCCCTGTTCATGTAAATCCCTGCCTTGAAAATTGCATTAATAAGCTGATCATGCTGTATTTTTGCACCTGTGTAATCCCTTTTGTGATGCTTAAACACACAGTTGGAGAGGGATGCTGGAATGGGCTTAGGGAATCAAGGTGTGTTGTGGGGCAATCAAGGCAGAGCTGGGCTTTGCTGTGGATTTCATTGTCCTATTGTGTGTATGCATCTGGTCGTATGGGTTTATGTGGGCGTGTGCATGAGCCAACATCCATTTTTAATGTCTGTATCTTTGTGTGTTCCCTCACTGAGCGGCCATGGGAGTCTTATTTCTCCATATCTGAGTCGTGACCGTCATTGTTTTCCATTCCCCAGCGACGCAGTGCTTTTGTGATTCAAGTAGCAGGCATCGTGACTAGTGGGGCTACCACGTGGGAGGGTGGAGGCCAGGAATATCATGTCTGATAGCCACCACCATGTCTGATGAAGTTGGTTTAGATTCTGCTAAAACACAGAGGCACTGGTCAAGAGGTCCAAGTTGTTACAGAAACTATTCATTATTCCTGCAGCCATTTCTCTCCTGCCTCTCTGGCTGTTGGAGTTCTTCTATCTCCATTTATTCACCATCTTTGCATTAATCCAGACCTTGCTTTGTCTTGAGTAGATGAGATCATTTTTCTTCATTTAATTTTTCCTTCTCTGTAGCAGCATATGATGTTGTGTTTACAAGTATCCACACATTTGTCTTGCTGGGTGCAGAAATTGCTCTGAAGCTGTTCTCCGCCAACACAGGATCCTGATTAAATTGCACTAATCAGCTGGTGTAAAAGGCATTCAGTGAAGCGAGAGTTATGCAGCAGCAGGGGAAACGAGTAAGAGTGAGCATTTCTGTGCTGTTGCATGAATGTGATATAAAGGGTTGGTGCTCTGTGCGTTTCCATGATGCCGCTGGTCAGTTGTTAGCATGCTGGGACTGCGAGGAGCAGCGTTTGCAGTAATTTGATCGTCCAGTGCTTCACCTCTCTGATCTCCCTTTTCATTCCTGATCCTTGCTGCTTTCACCCTCCTCCATTTCTTATCGGGCCGTATTACAGATGCCCGTCTTTCTAAAGGAGCCTTTGAGGAGCGCCTCTGGCTGCCTTTAGGATTTGGGGCATGTTGCAGGCCATTGATTTATTTTTTTTCCCCCTCTTCCTTTTAAGAGCTCATGATTGCATCTTTAGCTTGTGTGAGTCTGCACAGAAACTATCAATAGTGTCCTGGCGTGATCAAACATCTAGGTCAATAGGCGGGTTAATAAGCAGCTTTTTTTTGATGCACCGAGCTGCTGGAAAGGTGAGCAGCCGCACTGAAACCAGAATATGGCTGGAAGAGACAACTTCCTTCTATCATGGCTTCCCATTCTCCACCCCCTGTCCCGCCTTCCAATCCTCTATCCTCTTTTCTCCACCACAAAGCTGCTCAGTTGTTCATGAATGTCAGCTCAGTGCTGCCAGCACACTCCAACACCCCCCCCCCCCCTCCCTCTTTCACTCTCAAAACTCCCAACAGTCTCTCAGCCTCTCTTCCTCCCTCACTCCTTATCTCTCCCTTACTTCGCTTGGTGTGCAAAGGAAGAACGACTGCAAATGAGTTCCTTGAACCACAGGGACCCCAATAAATAAAACTGTCAGCCAGAGATGTCGAAGGAAAAAAAGAAAGAATGAGGAAGGAGCCAGAGGCACACTCTCGCTGAATATTTCATCACCCACCAACACCACCACTACTCTGACACCCTACCCCCAATGCCCGCATCCCCCATCCCCCTTCACCATCCGCGTTCACTCCGTCTCTGATGCCATCCTCCCCCTCTTCTTCGCCACTCCTCCCCCTCTTCACTACCACTCCTCCCCCCAGCTGCCCCTTATCATATTTTCCCCCACTCCTGCATAGCAACCGAAGCCTCAAGCTAAACAAAATACCACCTCCTTGACACCAACAGCTAAAACAAAGTGGCTGATGGGGCTGGCTCTGGGGGTCAGTTTTAAAGAAGTGGCTGCATTGTGCATCGACCTATTTTTTTTATTATTAACAGGCCACAGTCTCCACGTGACTGGCAAAGGATAAACTCATCTATGCTGAGTTAAATGAGCTCCGCATGCAGTTATGAAGAAGCACACACCTGGCACTTCAGGCGTGAACCCCTCATCTCTTTGCATACCGCTGCTGCTGCATTAGAAAGAGAACAATGACGGGCTGGGTTCTCTCTGTCTCCCTTAACACAACAAAAGTGAGGCCCTCCACTCTCAGATTCTTGTGGCTTTCATAACACTTCAATAACAGCCATACATTGAGCGTCCTGTTAAGAGCAGGAAAAGAAACGAAGGAGCGCTAAAGAGCTGTCTTTTGTTTGCATGCGATGTTCCAGAAAGCCCTATCTGGTGTTTGTCCTGACGTCAGTGGTAGTCAGCTACATTGGGTGTCTTGGCTGTGCTCCTGAGAGCAGACAGGCATGTTTGGACTGGAGCTGAGCTGCTAGCCGAGACCTCTGGGAATCATTTGCTAGCCAGCTCTCCAGCACACAGAGCGCCCCCCTTCCTCCTACGCGCACACACACACACACACACGTACACACAGACTCTCCAACGCATTTCCTCCCCTTGTTTCTCTCGTACGCTCCGTCCGTCTGGAAGAGGCACATTGTTACACGATCACTAACCAGTCTAGCCTCTGGCAGGCAGTCCTGTATCATCCTCCGCCTCCTCCCTTCTCTCAGGAAACGGGCACTATTTCAGGTGTTCCACTCCACAGCTCCCAGCTACACAAGCTGTTCTCCCTCCTTAAAAGGTTTTTTTTTTTTACTGGCTGTTGAGGATTGTCAGGAAAACAGCATGTTTGTGGTGGTGGAATTCCACACCTGAAGGTTTCCTTTGTTTTTTTGCTATGTTTTTTTTATTCATCATCTTTGGGAAATGAAAGACCACCGCACAAATATGAGAGTGAATAATCAGCTATGTGTTTAAACGTCTCCTGTCATTTTAACTGCCATGGAGATATGGAGCTATGTTTATGTGGGTTTGTGGCCTTTTAATTTCATGCCTAAAGACAACACTGTGGTGGGTGGTGTGTATATCTGCGAAGACCCCATATGAGTCACATGCAGTGGCAACAGACATTTTTAGCTCTTATAAATGTGAGACTTAACACGGCTTGTGTGAGCAACTTCTAAATTGACTTTATGAGTCAATGACTCAGAGTCTGAGACCCGCAGTGACAAAAATCGAATGGAGGAGGCAAGAGGGGGGGAAAAAATGAGGTGTGAGGATGAAAACTTGCCTCTCTCTCAGGCTAATTTGAAGCCTGCCATGTGGTGTTGGGAGCTCAGTAGGAGTACGTGGATTTCATCATGGTGGTTTTGAATAATCCACACTAGTCATTATAAGGGTAATCAAGCCTCCTCTTTGTTTCTCCTGCTGTCACTCACTGTCACCGCTTTTCTCTCACTTTCTCTTGCATGTGTGTGCGCATACACACACACAGAAGACAGAAATGGAGGCCTTGTTCTGATTTGGCATGAAATGGCATCTTCCTTTCAGGAAATTAAGCCTAACCCTCTTTCGGATTTAACCAAAATAAATGTCACTCGGATTCAGACGCACATGGACCAGATGAAGGAGTTCACAAAAGCCGTGGCAGTCCTGCTCTCCTGCTGTAGTACTGAAAACAACTAATTAAGTATTTCTCTGACAAAATCATATTTCTAAGACAGGAAAATCTGACCACGAGTGCTTACTCGAGACGGACCGATTTCATGTGTAAAGGAGCTGGTCTCAGCAGGAATTGAACTCAGTCTTGGCCTTTACTTTTGTTGATACATGATTTGAGGTCTGAGAGCAGAGGCACACAGACACTCACCCCCTCTACCACCCTAATGCACTCATCTCAACACGAGCCTGATGCCTCCCTCGGGGTCTCTGACTGTGCATGCATATGCATGCGTGTTGTGGGTGAGCAAACTGTCGACTCATTGTCTTGACAGCTGTCAGTCAGTGACGTAATCCCATTCTCTCTCTCTTCCCCCACCCACCTTTGTATTCGGAGTGCCCCCCAAGTCTCATGCTCCCACACAGACACACATTTTTATCTATCAGCCGTTTGTATGTAGATTTTCATCAAACCCTGCCCCTTTTCTTTTTTCTTTCCTTCTCTCTTCACACCCCGCCTTGTGCCTGCTGGGTTTATTGCCTTACTGTGCGGGGTAATCACGGTGGGTGTGGACTGTATCAACAAGCCTTCAACAGCCCGAGTTTACATTCTGACAAAGCTTAGTTTCTGCTTATCCTGCAGCCTTCTGCATGCTGATTTTCAGTGTTTGATTATTTACATTTTGAGTTGCAGACATCGGATCATCCCAGCTCCCCCATCCTTTCACCTGCCTCTCTTCTGCTTCCCTTTTTTTCCATCCCATGTCAATACCAATGTGCAAAGGTCACCCTGGCAACAGAGAGGCAGTGATCGATAGAGAAATAAATAAGCAGAAGAAAAGGGAGAGAAGTGATGGCAGGCTGAGGCTGCCGTTTTTCAGGGTGAACTATAGGCCATCATCTCAGCAGCACACTCTAAAAGCTGCACACTCTGGAGGGAGGGGGGCCTCTGCTGTCTTCTGCTGTCTTTGTATCTAGGTCTTTGGACCTTCTTGCATTGTTACTCTTCCTCTTTCTACCCTGCCATCTTTTGTGCTCCCCGCTACCCTCATGTAAATTTAAGGGATATTTCTCTCTTCCTGTTCCCCCCTCCCCCGTCTTGTGACTAAAAGCACACAGGCAAAGGGGGCTGTTGAGATCTTTTTGGATCGAGATGTCACTTTGTATTTGCCACTGCTGGTTGTGCCTGCCTCTACTTGGGGAGAGCTGGAGTCGTCATTAATGCTGAGTCTTCAAGACCCAAAGAAGCTTTGTGACTGCCGAATGACCCCCGAAAATCTCACTTTGGCAAAAAGCAACCCTCATATACACAGACTTGGACGGTGGCAACAACACAGCATCAGAGCTCTGGAGGACAAAAGAACGTTTGTTGTTTAGTGTGAATCCTCCAGCCAAGTCGTGACAGCTCTGCTGTCCTGTGTGTGTTTGTGTGTGTCCATCCGGGCCACGGGTGGGTCAGCGAAAGCCTCCACACTTGGCCCTTGTTAGCCGTTGCCAGAGCTCCAAAAATGGGCAGCCCTTCCAGATCCGCTGCAGACCCACAGACAATTGACTGTTGTGCGTTTGAAATGCAGGCGGGGTGTATTTCCTGAACGTGGGACTGATTTTTCAGGCTACGAGCCAGACAGAAGGGTGGCTTTTGTCTCGGAGCTGAATGACACTGCTGACTAAGAGCGGACCGCGGTGCAGTTGAAAGCAGGCAATAGTGGGCTCTATTTTTGTGTGTGTGTTTTCCAATAGGACTCTTATCCAGAAGTAAATAGACCACTGTTACAGAATAGTGAATGACTGCACGATGGTCTAATGTGGTGAGTCTGTGTCTGAGAGTGGGGGAACTCTGAGCAGCATTGTCTGTCTTGACGGCTATCTATAGGACAAACTATTCATTTTCCAAGTAAGAGGTCAGGATGCATGAGGAGCGGCAGTTGCACAAACTAGCGCACATCAACTATATATAGCGATTTAGCCATCCGCCAGATCTGAACTAATGACGTTTACGAAGGCAGGCACTCAGTCTTCTTTTTGTGTGTTGCAGGTCAGTGACTTCCTGTCTGGCCGCTCCCCCCTCACCCTGGCGCTGCGTGTCGGTGATCACATGATGTTCGTCCAGCTGCAGCTGGCAGCGCAGAACTCCGGAGGTCCCCAGCTCCAGCACAGGCACCTCATCACCCGAGGCAACGCCGAGGCCGCCGCGGGACAGCCCACTGGACAGCCCACCGGACAGCCCCGTGCTCCTCACTCTCACCCGCACTCACACCACCCCCCCCACCATCTACACAACCACCCGAGCCCCCACTTAGCCCAGTCTCAACATGTCCCTTCCTCGCCCTCCTCCCCAGGGTCCCCTTCCTTCCCCCTTCCCTCCACGCACCACCAGCCCCTCCCTCCTTTGTACCACCAGTCGCCCTCTCCTGCCCATTGTAGCCCCCCCACCCCTCCACCTCACTCCCCTCGCCCTTCCCACATCCCTGGGGGTCATTTCCGCTCCCCAGCCCACCACCATCACCACCACCATCATCACCACTACCACCAACCTTCCTTGGGTCAGCCCAGCCACGATATTGGCCAGGTCAGCCCTGTAGCCCCGGTTCTCTGCCCTGAGGTAAGAGCCAAGAATCATATTTACCCTCAGTAAAATAAAATAAAAAAAGATTTTTGACTGAATTATAACATGATCATTTATTTAACTGTAGATGACTTTAGAATTAGCAGTCGACTTAGATGAAAAAAAAAGTGTGTGAGATAATTACAGAGATATTATAGAGTTGGTGTTTTTAACACTGAGGTGCTTGTCGTGGTTTAAATTCCACTTGGATGGCATTTGAAAAATCTTAGTTAGGCCAAGGTAAGGTCAGAGGATGGCCTAGATTTGTCTGTTCACGGTTTGATGTAACTGATACCCAGTATGTCAGTGCATGGTATGACACAATAAATATGCTGTTATCTCAAAACTGTACATTCTGCAAAATGATGTCTGTTGAACAAGTATAATAATAATAATAATAGCAATAATAAGTGTTCTCAGCTCAGTTGAAAAATGAACCTTTTTCCTGTTATGTGTTGTCCCCAAAAAGCATTTCTTGCCTAAATTGTGCCTGATATTGTGCCTCCAGGCTAACTGCAGCACCAACAGCCCCAGCAGTGGCAGCAGTCCCTCAACACGCTCCCGTAAACCTGGTGCCATCATTGAGAGCTTTGTCAACCATGCTCCCGGAGTCTTCTCAGGGACTTTTTCAGGTGAGAGGAAGCCGAGCTGCTGCTGAGATTTATTGCAGCTCTGATCTGTAACCACAAACACGACGAGATCCAGCTGACAGAATGTTTTATTAAAATCTGTGTGTTAAAAAAGTGAACATTAAACGCAGGCCTCCCTGTGTGATCTCAGTGTTTGTTATAGGCATGTTTTAATGTAGCCCCACTAGACGAAAGCCCTAAATCTTCTGAGAAGCTCACTTTTATTATAATACACACACACATATATTATAAAGATGGATAAGCAAATAAAATCTGAATCTAAATATACTTCCTCGTAAAACTCATGATCTCTCTGGCTCCTCCTCTCAGGCACTTTGCACCCTAACTGCCAGGACAGCAATGGACGTCCAAGACGGGATATCGGTACCATTCTGCAGATCCTCAACGACCTCCTGAGCGCCACACGCCACTACCAGGGCATGCCCCCCTCCCTCACCCAGCTCCGCTACCAGACCCAGTGTGGCTCACCGGCCTCGCCGTCCCCTTCGCCGCCCCCTTCACCCCCGGTTTCTGGCATGACAGGCCTCTCTGCCAAAGCTACCTCTGTGCCTGCGAGCAGTCCTAGCAGCCCTCCTCCGACTCTGCATCCACTGGTGCAGTGCCAGAGCCAGATCCGCATGTGCAAACCCCCTGGTGAGTCAATCTATTCCTCTCAACCATTTCTCAAGCAAGTAAGAACACAAATACAATCAACACCCATGGAGATAAATCATTGCACATCCTGTGAAACCTCATGTTTTTATGAAGCAGATGTTCCTGCAGTTGCCACAGCTCTGGTGGAGTGCAGGCGTGTATGTGTGTGCATTTGCGTGCTAAATGAAAGTAGAAACCATTCTTTTTACTGAACTGTGTCTTGCTGTGCAATCTAAAGAGAAATTAATTGTCATATCAGTCTTTCAGTTCTCATAGAGCATGGATAGCTCAACTGTGATGGGAACAGTGCTTATATTCATCTTTAAAATACTGACAAGACAAGAACAGTGAAGAGAAAAGCAGTCATGCACATGTGTCCCTTGGGTTTTGAAGCAGATCAGAGGAGGGAAAGGATGGAGGAGGGGGATCTTCTCAGTAACGCAATACAAGTTTCTCCAGGCCTGTTCAGTCAAGCTTCATTTGTCAGTCAGCAGAGCTGGCTTTGTTTTTGTGCATCAGGGAGATAGGTTTACCCCTTCAAGCCTGGGCTGGGCTATGTTTAGATTAGATTAGATTAGGCTTTGGGTGCTTTAACCTGCGTCCTAAAGAGGAGCTGGAGCTGGGGTATGCAAAGGCCGGACACACCTCGACATGCCCATGGTAGTCGAAGTAGGTGCGGGCAGTCGGATAAAACCATTTTGGGACCGGGCTTGGGTATTTTAAAACCCTTTTTTTGTGCTTCATGGGACATGTGATTTTTGTGCCAGACAGATGTCTAGAGCTGATAGCTGTGACTCAGTTCTGTTAGGTTAGGTTGTCTCCGCTGCTCCTTAACTTCTACTGAGGAAATCAAACTAGTCTTTGGTGAAATGCCAGTGAATTTCCAAATGTTTTACCAGCATTTGTGGGAAAGTCTTTTGGCAACATCTTGCAGCACTGCTCTTAATGTTTTCTTTTGTTTGAAAGGGAGTGAGCATACACTTCCATTGTTGTAGTGTGGCTTTGGCCGGTGTTGCATGACCCTCTGTGGCAAACAGTATAAAGCCTCTCAGTTGCAACAACTGAGCACTGACTCACTAGGAATGTCCAGTATTCCAACAGCATCACCCAGAGAGCCTTCACAAATGTTCAGTGAACAGTTGGAACAACACAAGCCTATTTTCCTAACTTGGGAAAGACACTCACCCCACCCACTTACTCACCCCACCTTCCTGCCATCCCTCTTCATCTGCACTCAGCAACCCGTGCCACTGCCCCCCCCCCCCCCCTTCGCTGTCCAAAAACAGCCTTGTCTGTAAAAGCCATTTCTGTCTTCCTCCTAATCACCCCTTTCTCTTTCCATGTCTGTGTTGTGCATCAATACATTGTCTGTGTTCATTTGGCCTTTAAATAGATTTATTCCAAAATGCAGCCCTGAAAGGAATTTGCTTTGTGGAGTTGGGGGCAGTAAGAGGAGGATGTGGGGGGGTGTTAAAACTACAACACTAAGCCTCCATTCATCATATGGGTGTTTATATCCAGTCCATCAGCCTGTTCTCTGTTTAACCGAAGGCAACGAGTGAAAGAAAAGCTTCTCTAACGATAGTTTCCTCTTTAACTGCCTTTATCCAACTTCCAAGTCCCAAGATGGACTATGAGAAATTGAAGTGAATGGTTAACCTAACAAACTGAGCTGGGCAGTGCTCGGTGAAACGATAAACACACTGCTGTGGACATTTTCCATGTGCCTCTTCGTATCCTGTCCCCACACAGCGTCTGAGGAAGCTGATGACTAAGTGCTGTCAGGCAGCCTTATCAGCCGACACCTGATGGAGGACTTACTGGACTTAACACTGCAGCTTAACTGCCTCGTAGAAACCTGCTGTCATCTGGCCACAGGAAGAGGGAAAAACACACTTCTCATCTGCCTGAATATGTGTGTGTATAGTCTCAACTTGACTTCTTGAAAATGTCACATAGCTTGGCTGTCTCTTGAGAGACTTTACCCTTTCCACTGCAAGTTCATGAGTGGGATGGAGAAGACGAGTGTAAATAAAAAAGCATACACACGCGTTCACACACTTTACCACAAATGTGCAGTGCACAGCTTCTGCTGCCTGCTTTTGCTCACAGATTGTTAGCTGAATTCCTTTACTGACTTGGGTGAACCTCTACACCCTCCCCCTCTATCCCCAACACCCCACACCCACCGCCCAGGCTAACATTGTTTGGAGGCTGGGGACAGGGGCTGTATACAGGGTACCATGCTGAACCATTGTGGGGCCGAGGAGGGGATTAAATGGCTGCCTTTTAGCCTCACTCCCACCACAGCTGCTTTAATTGAACACAGGCACTTTTTTGGAGAGCAGAGAGCTCTGAAAGCTTCTCCAGGACCCCCCTCTCTTTTGTGTCCCCTCCAAAATCCCTCGCCACCTCCCGGCTCCTTTTGACGTGTCAGGTCATGTTAAATTTGTGCAGGTTAAGACTGGCCAAACTCCAGGAAAAGGAAGTTGGAAACCGAGAAAGATCCCTTGACCTTAACCTCATCAAGTCCAATATTTAAACCTTGACCGGATCGAGCTTGACTCCTCTCTCGTCACAGATAGATTTTTGTTGGGATACACGAGCACCACCAACTCTACAAATTGCACAGCCACGTTGAGCAGCCGCAGAGGTATCCAGGAAAGCCAGCCAAGCATATCAGGTGCCCTTTCATTGTCGTCAAGGAGAGAAGAGGAGGAGAGAGAATGCAAATGAAGTCTAAAAGTCATTGAAGAGCTTGTGTCCCTGCAGGGTCATCAGTGCCCTTTCACTGGCTGTCAGGATGCTCATATCAGCTCCCTTTAACTGCTTGTTTTGGTCTGTGTCAGATTACTTAGTTACATTCTCATGTTGTTGTGTGTGGAACTGAACTGTGGACTTATTTCAGAAAGGTTGAGAGAGGGGATGCTCTGATTTTATGAGTTTGAGTCATTGTGGCAGAAGCAGAGAATGATATTACAGGACTCTCCAAACCGCTCCGGCATAAACACAAAGGAACTTATCGCCTTAAATATTTTGACAGTAAAAGTGATTATTTATTTTTTTGTTGAGTGAGTTTTGAATCTTAAAACAGATTAGTTCATTTGTCACAGATTGAGGAAATAAAATGCTTTAACTTCTCCGTCAGTAGCAATAAAGGGAGCCGAAGCTCACTCTGCTGCAATGTGATTATTTCTCCTCTTACTTATCCCTCCCTCCTCTCTGTCTGCCCCGGACCACCCCTCCCCAGCTTCCCCTGGTGTCCCTGGATGCTTAGCTAACACAATGTTCTCTCTGCAAGATCACAGGGCCTACCAAGACAACAAACAAACAAACAACAGCAATAAGACATCTGCAAATGAAGACCAATCTCTACATAATCAACAGGAGAAGCTCCTTTTAATCTCCCTCTGTGTTCTGCACACTGCAGCACTCCTCCCTTTTTCTCTCCCTTCATCCTCTGACTTGCCTCCTCCACCCACTCCTCCCACCCAGCCTCCCCCGCCTCCCATGTGCTCCCTATCTCAGCCCTCGCTGTGTTGCTGGGCTGGGCTCAAAGGCGAGGAATACTGACTGACGCATCGATTATTCATAGATCAGCCCCTTCCCTTCCTGCCTGTTTTTCTCCGCAATGTCCAGTATATTTACAAGGCTGGGTACATGATCTTATGAGGGAGAAGAGCACGGGGAAGGAGTGAGTGGCAGGAAGGGGAGTGGTTAGAAGAAAGCCAAGGAAGATGAGACTGCCATTTCCTTCCTCTCAGTGCCCTTGACCTGCCTTCTGTTTGATGTCTTCCCCCTGAGCATTTCTAAGAAAAGAACAGTTGTTGGTGGACGGTTTCTCTCTATCTTTTCTTCAAACGTATTCCCTGGATCTCCTAGTCACCTCTCTCTGGTTTCTCCAAGGTTATTGTGCTAACGTCAAACCCCGGTCTCTTCAGTGGGGCTCTGAGCCAGCTTTTTGTGTCTGTGTGCAAGTGCAGTGTGTATAGTCTGTCTTTAGCCTGCCCTAATAATAGCCCTACTGTCATAAACATAGTCTGGAGATCCCTGTGGCCAGCTGTGTCCGGCCCAGGACTCCGGTAGTGACGCTGATAAATGGCTACACATATGCATACACACACACACGCGCACACACACACACGTTTTGTGTGGCTCCAAGTACATTCCCCGAGCTCTTACCAAGCCAAAGGCCAAGACCTCCTGCCGCACTAGCAAACTGGCCTTTGCTGTGTGTGCGTGTGTGTGTGTGTACTTGGTCTTGGAGATTTCTGTGTTTGGAGTAGACTGTGGAACTGTGGAAACAATGATCATGACTGTGGGACTGCCCTGGTGAAATAAAAAGAAACACTTCAAAGGAAAAAACTACTAGACAAACAGATTTAGCTGGTAGGCATGCGTTGGCTCTCTGCCTACTCATTGTGTACGGCCGTATTTTGACACAGCGAAGGGCTGTTTTTTTTCCTCTCCTTCTTTTGACTTGTCAAAGCAGGGAATGAGGGGATAAAGGGAGGACCGGAGGGGGGAATAAAGCCTCACGACAGCTTATATGGATGTCACATGGAGCTGAGGCAGGGGAACAATGGCAGTAATGTTGGAAGCCCCCCCCCCCCCCCCTCTCTCTGGTCCGTTCTTTGGAGATGACACACAGCCCTGGCACATGGCATCTGGATGCACACGTACATTTATGTTGGGGCAGAACATGTTGGCAGGATGTGGAAAAACCCCAGTCTGTCTGCGTGGCTGACTGTGCTGTGAAGATGTGATCTTTTCTTTTCAACCTGAGCCACCCTTCACATCCTCTCGCTTTTTTTTTTATGTCTGCAGTTTACTTTTGTGTACCCTGCCAGGCCGCACTCTGAGCAATTTGATGAGTAAATGAAGGGAAGAGGTAATTCAAGCCCACACGGAGTCCTGAATTCATTCCGATATGGGGGGGAGAGCCAAAGAGGGCACAATCGATTCAGCAAACTGACACCTACGGCTGATCCTTTACCCCCCATCCTATTCTCCATCCCCCTTTGCCCCTGGGGGAGGAATTCCTTAACCCGTACCGCCATCCCCCTCCCCATGCCCCTTCTTTCCCCCTTCTTCACACAGGCTTACCTAGCTGTCTCTGGGGAGACTCAGGGCAAGAGCTTGAAGAGGGCAGGGTTGGAGGAGGGAGGGGGGCTCCACTGTGTGTGAGGTGGGGGTGGGGGGTGGCTGTTCAATGAGCTGAGATTTGGAAGCTAAAGCCGTAATAAAGAAAAAGAAATAGCAGGGGAAAAAAAACCCAATTTTTGCCCCCGACTCTCCCCCTCTTTCTCTTTCTCTCCGCTTACAATTTCCATTCGCTTGCATTTTCTATTGAAAGCCAATAGCGTTGTCCTGGGCCCGAGATGGATGGCTGCACTAGAGCTAAGGTTTAATCAATAGGTCTTTTTAATTTGCCATCGATCCACGTTAAAAGCTACTGCGGCTGTTGATGCTGTCGCCGTGCGTGTGTGCGCACGTGCACACGTGCACCTCTGAGCAGCCTGGACGCATGCTGGTGTGTACTCCGGGCGTGCTTGTGCGAACACATGGTGTACTTGAATGCGGATTGGAGTGTCTTTGTGTGTGTTCTGGTGTGCAGCCCAGGCAGAGATGGCCGCTGTGCTCCGCTTTATTGACATTCTAGCCCATTATTTAATTATTTCACTCCCAGACAGATACTAATGGAGCTGGCTAATAGATTGCGGTTGCTCTCCCATCCTTCCAAGCCCTCGAATATACGTATAAATGGAATTAGACTTTGCCTGGACAGTGTTGGAGAGCATTCACAGTGCAATGCAAATCGTCTCCCTGGAGAATGGATTCACCTATAGGCACATCAACAGCTAGAAATGCACTTAGGAGCACATCCAGTCTCTGAGACATGCCTCGCTTTATTACATTTGCAAACAACACAGGCAGCCATTGTTCCATGTTGGCTCTGTTGTTTGTTCCCGCTCTTCCCTGTTTTCACTCTATTGGCTCTCAAGGATATTCAGGTCTAAGAAGGTTTTCTCCACTCCGTGATAAGGGGATAAAATGGAGCTGAGCGGGCTAATGAAGCTCAGTGGGGGAGGTTTACCGATCCCCATGTGCAAAGCGTATATTTGTGTGTGAATGACCTCAGTCTGTCCTAGTTTCTCCATTTATAGTTTGGAGCTTTATCTACAGCCTGCCGTGCGTGCACGCTAACACACACACACACACACACACACACACACGCTGAGATCTTTGCTAGACTTGAATGGGCCGACTCTGACTGACCGTTCCCCTCCGCCTTGTGTCCAGGTGACCGCATTCGTCAGACCGAGAACCGTGCAACCCGCTGTAAGGTGGAACGCCTGCAGCTGCTGATGCAGCAGAAGCGCCTGCGCCGGAAGGCCAGGAGGGACCAGCGCGCTCCCTACCAGTGGCTGCCCAACCGGAAGGCCGGCCGCAGCAACAGCAACAGCAGCATGTCCAGCGAGGGCTCCCTGGACCTGGACTTTGACGACTCGGTGTGGAAGCCCGACGTAAAGGCCGACCTGAAGTCCGAGTTCGTCATGGCCTGAGTGGCGTGCGGACCACACGCCCCCGGCCCACGTCCAGATTCAGAGATTTACAAAGCGTTGCTTTGGATTTACTTAGAGACGTGTTTGGAGGGAGTGGATTGGCCGGAGCTGAAGCAAAAGCGCAAAGATGACATCAAGGTTGTCCTTGTGGCCGTTATCTGTCACAAGGGGAAAAAGAAAAAAAGCTCCCCACAGACTTTGATCCCATTCTGTCCTTCACAGCTGACATTGTGAAAAGCAGCAACAATAGCAAAATGAACTTTGCTGTAAAGCCGGGATTTGGACAGGCGACAACAGGACTTCAGAGTGTGATAGAGCATCATGCCTTCACCTGAGCATAGCTGAATTTAGTGGGTGGTGATGGTATCTTCAGATTTTTTTTTCTACAGTTCCGTTTTTTTTTTTTTTTAAGTGCACTCTGGGCAGAGATGAAGAGATCCACACTGGACTTATTAAGAGGACGGGAGCACCAGGGACTTTGGACTATTCCAAGGGGCATTCTTATTGATCTCAAAACTCACCAACCAGAGTCAAATTTGTACCTGTTACAGGGTGGCTAAACCTTTTCTTTCTCCACTTTTAAACATATTATATTTTATAAACAAAAAAAGTTATGTAGCATTGTTCACAAAGCATTCAGGTTTTCATAGAAACAGTTCAAAGTAGTGGTTTATTTGCACATTTTCTTGATTTATAACAGCTGGTCAAAAATGTGCAAGGAGGAGGAGGTGGGGCCTGAAATGGGATTAAAAAAGAATATGGAAGTATTGATATCAACCTCAGTGACATAGGGTATTGATAGGAATTAATAAACAAAGTGAATTAATATTAACAGAAAGTGCTTTAGAGGATTTAAAAATTTTAAAGTATATATGGAAAAAAAATCTATTTTTGTTTTCTCTTCCTATCTGCTGTTTTCTAAAAACAGCAGGCCTCTGTGGCTTCAGTCAAGTTGTTGACTACCAACAAATATTTGCATCCGTTCAATCATCCATTAGCTCATTTGTGAATTCTATCGTCCAGCCACAACCAACGATAAAGGGTTTGGAGTTTGTGTACATAAATGTGAGAACGTTAACGGGGGGGGGGGGGAGTGTGTTTGTTTGACTTTAATGTAAAGCCGATTTACGATATCCTGCTTATATTTTTCCTTTCTTATTTGATGTCCCGTCGTCTTTTCCCAAACGATCCCATAGTTTTCCAAACCACAGCGATCATCTGCGGCCAACGCACAATTTCCTGTTCAAACCGGCGAGAGAATAAAACGGCAGACTATTGGTTCCGGGGTTTTGATTTGTACCTTTACTGAAAAATGCTCCTGAGGGTGATGATGATGATGACGACGGCTTTGTTTGGGAGCGAGATGTGTCCCAGCACCGTTATCTAGTGCCTCCACCCGTGCATCCATCCACATATCAGGTTCCTCCCACAGTGTTGCTGCTACACGTGGGGGCTTCAAACTAAAGAAGCGGGAGGGGGAAAAGGGACATTGCATGCCGAAGTGTTAAACTTACCCCCTCTCTCTTTATTTTCTATTGATGAAAGAAATTATAAAAAAAAAAAAAGAAAAGAAAAACAGGTGCTCTCAGAATGAAGGTCAACAACATGCATGAATTTGTGAAGAAAAACAAACAATGCTGCTTTTGTTGGTTGGATTTATTTATTTCCTTTTTTCTTTTTTTTTCTTTTTTGTAACTTTGCGTTGGATGTTGAATCAGCAGCGTCCGGCCAAACGAGTCGCCGCCCCAAAAACCAAAACGGACAAAATGAAGCGTGGACTCGTGTTGTTGCTCGGCACTGAACATTCCTGTTGTCTGACAAACAAGAACCGAATGCTGGTTTCAACCCAAGTGGTTCCCAGTACCCAGACAGACCCCCCCCCCTCTAGCCAGGCCTCCTCCTCCCAGCCCGAACGTGGACATATCCTCACAGGGAACCAACAGACCAGTGGATTTCCAGAACTGTCGGTCAGATGGACTCAGAAGTGTCTGGTCTTTTTCTTTTTCTTTTGAAACCTGTCTGTCTGACTGACCACCCGACCGCGGTTGCACTCCAAGAGATTGCAGTGAGAGATTACCTTTTTTGGTGAACCTCATCTTTTTTTTTTTTTTAAGTGGCCTTACCTTTCACTAAAAAAAAATGAGACAATTGGGGACAATGGGAGTGGGATTGTTGTTGTTGTTATTGTTTTTTTTATTTTTTGGGTTCTTTTTTTCAGATCTTCTGTACGTATCGATGTGGGACTTGTCACCAAGGCGCTGTTCTCTGTTTTTTCTTTGTCACTGAGGACACTGGGCATCTGTCGTTTAGCGCTTTTAGCTGGTGGAGTCTCTATTATAACAAGGCTTCCGTGCCTTAAAAATGTTGCCCTTGCAGTGTCGGTGTCGGATTTCGGATGTTTTTTTTTTTGTTGGTCGGTACACGCGACTGTAGTATTCACAGCCACGAGACTGGTCGATTTTAGGGGTGAAGCTTGTTTGAGCGAATTGGATGCCGTTCAAAAAAAAAAGTGGGTGTTGTTCCTCAAATAACGTCTTTGTCCCAACTTTTCAATGTGTTGCCATGTTTGTTGGTCTGTCATTCGAAACTTCATGTCCCTCTCGACTCAGTCTACCCACCAACTAGCTGCAAGAACTGCAAAACTCACAACCGAGGAAGTTTACACAACAGTACTTAGATGGAAAGAAACAGTCCTGTAAGAAAGTCCTCTGAGGACCTCAGACTACAAGCACTTCCAGTTTCCTTGGACACAACCATATTAAAGGACAGTTAAACTCCGGCCCCTCCCAAATTTAATTTAATTTTCTTTGTATATGTATGAACTATACTCTGTGTGTGCCTCACTTCTATGTGAAACTCAAGAAGAAATAAAACAAAAAAAAAAAAGCTGACAAAAGCATTACAGAGGGGTTTAAAAACAGTATGTTGGTGGAGTTCTGATCACATCTTTTCAGTTGCCTGTTCTTTCTTGTAGCCAACTATTGAAAATAACAGGATTCAAGAATACAATTTACAATGTTCTAGCTCTAGACCGGTGTAGCACATGTGTGACTGTATTAATTTATGAAACCAAAATGGTAACTGTGAATTACGTATTTCTTTGTGCATTTATAAAAAGAAAAAAAAAAGGTGGGGGAGAAGTTAAGTCGGGCCGCGGCAGCAGCCGCTGCCGGTGTCTGAAAACGGACTTTTTTTGGTTGTTTTTTCTTTTTTTTTCTTTTTCTTTTTTTGGTTGTTTTTGGTGGATTATAATGGAAACCAAAATGTGTTTCTGGAAAACTTTAAAAAATGAAAAAAAAGGGAAAAAAGAAAAAAGGAAAAAAATATATGAATATATTTTTTTTTCTTAAGCAATACATTTCAGTGTGACTTGTGATAGAACATTTTCTTTTTTTAGGTAATAAATACAAAAATGAAATGAGTACAAGTTTTGTCCGTGTGCTTTCATTATTGGAACCCTCCGATAACGCTGAATGGAACCTTCTGTCCATTCTGTTTGTTTCAAATGGGATCTATTTCAGGGAGACACTCGATACAGGTGGGCTGAGGAGACGGGAGGCATGGAGCTTCATGGATAAGATATGACCTTACCCTCTTTAAAATGGGGCTGATGAAGGGACAGAGGCACAGATGGGCTCCCGAACATCACAAAAACAGAACAAACCAAGCCCAGTTTTAGATTATTTTGTCCATATTTGATAAGCCGATAGTGAGAACAACCTGGGAGTGATTTGCTGGAGAAGGGAGAATCTCAAAGTGCAGAGAGGGGCGTGTGGAGGAGAAGGAGTCGGGTTCATGGCACACTAACTAACACCAAAAGGTGTTTTGAATCAACTCTTTGGCCCTGGAGCCCGAGAGGGATGACAGAAAGCATATGTTGGGCCTCATGGAAGATTGTGAGATTTTGAAACATCCATGAACCATAGAAGGTTTTTGTCTGGACCTGAGAAAGTAACATTTGTATCAATGAAAGAAAGTGAGATTCTACATAAAAGACTTACCTTTATATTTGCGCATTAAAAATCCAAAACCAGATGGTGAGTGATTAGTTGTTAAAAAGCTCTACTTGGAGATACCCTGTGCCTTCACAGTGGTCTTCATTCTGATAACGGCAAGGACTTGAAGACACGTCCCTTGGCCTTTTGTCATTCTTAGCCTCCAATCCTCGTATCAGTAAGGATGACTGTCATGAGGAAGGCCTCCTACTAAGAGATCTCTTTAACATAAGCCAGGCCTTGCAAAGTTACCCAAAACAAGCTTTTTTGAGAGACTAAAACCAACAAAAGCTCAGTCGTCGATTAGCTCAACAAAAGCCAGAGTTCATGAAAATAATGAAGAGAAGCAAACGGATGATTTAATTGCTTCAACTAAAAAAATGAAAAAGGTGGTTTTTTTGTCTTTTTCCAAAGATAAACTTCAAACGCAATCCCATTAAATAAAGTGGGGGGTCTCTCTGTTTGGAGTTAGCATGTCCATATCCAGATATGGATAATAGATGGATGGATATCCTTGAAGGGAATTTCCCATGCTTTGAAACCATTTTGCATTGTTCTGAGACCATCCTTCTGCCAACAAACCCAATGAGTGCATCAATAAACAAAGCATAGGTAGTGTCTGCTCAGTAGTAGAGACATAGAGATTATAAATATGTCAGAAACCCACTCGATTAGCAGCACCTACTTATTCAGGCTAATTACTCAAGTAGCTGGAGTGATTTATGTGTAATAATTCAGAAACACAGGCTGATTTCTCAGATTGAGTTGAGCTGGAAACTTTCTCACTTTGAAATATTTGTTAAATAATAATTCAATAATTCAAAATGCCAAAAAAGGAGAGATCAAGTGTCCAACTTGGAGATGGATGCACTTCAGGGACCGTAAAACTAGAGTGAGTCAGAATGTCGTCAGTTCTGGAGAGCAGAAAAATAGTCAATCCGAACATCCTCTATTGTCCCAACCTGCCAAGTGTCGATAACTCAGGCCGGGGGTGTTGAAACAGTGTGGGGGTGTTTTTTTTTCTTGGCTGTTTCAGACCTAAATCCAGAGCTGCACCTGCTGAACACAGAGGTGGAATACAAAGGCAGGTGGCGTCTACAGTTCCAGATTGTCTTTAATTTCTTTTTCTTTTAAAGGAGGTAGTGAGAATATTTTGCGAGGGCTATTTCCAGCCGGGGCTGGATATGGATGCGGTTCTCTGATGGGTATTTATGGCCTTGCCTTTCCCACTGCTGCACCGCTTCTTTTTGGATTGGCTCTACCTTTTGGAAACTAAAAATACAACTGTACACCTATGACATACTTGTTCTCTTACAAACTATTAGACATGAAATGACTCATTACTCATATATTACTCATGATACATCATGTGCATTAGGACAGTTAGTCATCTTGTTAATTTCCTATCCACGTTTTTCTTTTTGTTATATGATATCATAATATTTCATATTTTATTATTAGGATTAACAGTAATCTGACAACGTGCATCCATTTACAGAAGTGTATCTTATGAAGGTTTCACTTTAGGGCTTCTTTTAAATGAGCGGGACGTGTTCAACTTGCTGTTAGTGTTTTCCTTTTTATAGAAGCGTGACATAAGACAACACTGGAAATAGAAAATTTGCACGTTGTCTCTGCAGAGCGCCGCTTTGAAGAGAGCGGGCTACCCCTCCATCTGTCAGTTAGGTGAGACACCAACACAACAAACCGCCAGCGAGAATGTTGACACACATCCACAGAGAACAATGCAGGTGCAGCTAACAGACTCCTCTCACTCAAAATCGTACTTTCTTTTTTTTTCTTTTTTCTTTTTTTACTGGATTCAGCATCAGCGCGAGGTTCTGCAGAGCGCCGCTAAATTTCTCACAGCTTCCAGTCATACTGCAACTAGCGCGGGGCCTCTTCTGAGAAGTGGCTGCCTGTTTTTCTGACTGTCAGGGCTCAGCCTCCGCAAGCTCTCGGCAGACTAACTGCCGGTGGATCTGACTTGTGTTCAGAGACGGAGAGGAGCTCAGCAGCTGCCACCGCAAACCGAAAAACCCTGCGGCTCCGGGATTGAGAGGAGAGCCGCCGAGCTGGAGTTTCAAGACTCTGTGTTGTGTGTGATCTGAGATAAGACGACCTCAGCTGTATCCTCCCCTCCGCTAAAAAACACAGACAAGCACGCTAGCACAACGGAAAACACTCCAGGATGTCGTGCTGCCGAAAGTTCATCCAGATGTGCTCTCTCTGGAACCTAGACATCGGGTCCAGAATCTCGGGCTAATGCTGGACTCTGACCCGAGCTTTAACAGCAACAATTAATCAATAACATCAGCAGCCTTTTAGCATCTCAAAAACCTTACCAGAATCAGAGGAAATGTGTCTAAACAGGACCTAGAAAGACTAATCCATGCATTTAACGGCCTTCTCACCGGGCTCTCTAAATAAGTTGTAAGACAGATGCAGAACATCCAGAATGTTCTGACCAGAACCAGGAAATTAGACCAAAAATCTGGATGAGTCTTCCTGAAGAAAAGATCCAGGCCCCAACTCTGAAACTATTTAAATCCAGGCTGAAAACGCTTCTGTTTAAACTGAATGTATTTGTATTTGTATCTGTTCCCTTCACTTTTTATCTATCTAATTAATTTTGTTGGTTCATTTTCTTTCTATGTTTTTCTGCTTTTAAATGATTTGCACTTTGAATGGTCTTTTACACAAAATGTGCTGTAAAATAAACTTGCCTCACTGTAAATATCTGCTGAACTTACACACAGAGGGGTCTGATTAGGAGGTGTTGAAAAAGAACACGTTACACTTTTTGGGGTGTTTCCCTTTTTTACTGTTTCTGTGCATAGAAGGCTGAAAAATC